GGTTGAGGAATCCCAGGAAGTCTGCCCGGAGGAGGTGGGCTTCCCTTAGCCTGGAAGGTGTGCACATTTGGTTTAGGCAGGGAAGAGGGGAAAGGGTGCTGGTGCAGCAAAGGGGCAGTGGTGTGTTTCCGCACACGGGAAGGCTAGGAGAAGGGAACCCTAGGAGAAGGAACCGGCTGTGGTAAGGGTATAGCTTGATGGGAGAGGAAATGTCTTTGGATTATTGAGAAATCCAACAGATAAGAAGCAGGGCTGTACAATGTTTAAATTAGATGTACCTCTGCTCCCCCTCACACCCCAAACTACTGCACCATCAGCCACGGAGCAGGAACTCTAGGTGCCCCTTAGGCCTGGGGGGGTGTATCACGAAAGAATTGTTACATTTTAAATAGCAAGCTTCCTGAACTCGTGGTCCTTTGACTGAGAGTCTAAGTGGGTTTGGACACTGTGTTCTCATGCCTCCACAGGAGAGTGATGGCTCTTTCAAGTCTCCAGCATGATCTATACTCCGCCTGGGACTGGATTCTGTGCACAGCGCTTAACACTCTTTTAATTTATTATTTACGCCTCCACTTGTTCTAAAATGTTTGAAGCGGTTTTACTACATAACATAGAGACTGATCTTGAGTTTGTAGGGATAGGAAAAACCCTTCCTCTACCCTTCTAGATTCATTGCTGGGCCTGCAGATCAAGCTGATGATAGATTAACAGGAAAACCCATTGAATTACCTATTTATGCCTGGGGGTCACAGAGGAAAGGACTTACATACCATCCCACAAACAGGATCAAGTGTGAAGAGCCTCAGAAAAGGGGTCTGGGCTGGGGGGGGCGCTGTGGGAAGGTGACCAGAAACGTGTAATAAATGGGGTGGTCTAGTGCAGCGCTCGCCAGCTGGGGGTCCGCGGACCACTGGTGGCCGTGAGGCCTGAAAGGTTGGCGGCCGCGGGTCTAGTGAGGTTTGCTCAGGTCTAAGAAAGGGGACCCTTCACAAAAGGGAACGGGCACCTGATGCTGGAGAACCAGGGAAAGCAGAGGGCTACCCGCCTTCAGTCCACAGTCCTTCAGCCAAGGTGGCGGGTCTGGGGGCCAACTCTGTCCCCTTCCATCGCTGCTTCTATTTGCATCTTTATTGCTGACAGTATTGAAGCGTCCCCTGGCTTCCCCCTCCCACCACCTGCCTCCTGCCCCCACTGTTAGCTGTGCTGAGGGATGGGCAATGCCTGTGTGCACACAAGGTCTTTGGCTGATCTCTTCCTGTCCGCTGCTCCCACCTGCCCTCCGAGATTCGTCTGTCTGCCCCGGGTCCATGCCTCCGTTTCTGTTTTGTTCTTCAGTTTCTTGTGTTCATGGGATCCCACGTATGAGTGAGATCATGTGATGCTTGTGTTTCTCTGCCTGGCTTATTTCGCTCAGCATAATGCTCTCCAGGGCCCTCCGTGCTGTCCCAAAGGGTCAGAAATCCTTCTTTTTACAGCTGCATCGTATTCCCTGGTGTACACGTACCACAGCTTTTTTATCCACTCATTGACTGATGGCACTTAGGTTGTTTCCAGATCTTAGTTATTGTAAATTACGCTGCTATGATCATAGGGGTGCATATATCCTTTCTGATTGGTGTTTTGGGTTTCTTAGGATACATTCCTAGGAGTGGGCTCACTGGGTCAAATGGCAGTTCCATATTTAATTTTTTGAGGAAACTCCTTACTGTACATAGAGCTTGCAGATGAATAAAAAGCACACCAAACTGGTAGGAAAAACACTGCCCTGACGTGGATAGAGACAGGAATGGAAGGTTCAGAATATTTAGCCAGGCCGATGTGGCTCAGTGATTGAGCACCAACCCATGAACCAGGAGGTCACAGTGGGGTTCCCGGTCAGGGCACATGCCTGGGTGGCAGGCTTGATCCCCCAGCAGGGGGCGTGCAGGAGGCAGCTGATGGACCACGTTCCTCTCCCATCGATGTTTCCATCTCCCTCTCCCTTCCTCTCTCTCTAAAAAGTCAATGAAAACATAAAAGGAACATGTAGGTGGATCCCAGAGGATAACGTTGAGTTGACGGGCGATGGGAGCCGCTCAGCTCTTTCGCATCCTCTGCGTGCACAGGCTGCCCTCGGGGGCCAGCACGGGGCCTCTCCTCCTCACAGCTGCCCCGGCCTGTGGGTCCTGCCCGCCGGAGTCCGGGGTGTCTTCCCTGAAATGGACTGAATCGTACCCCGTGAGAATGGGCCTTTGTCTGCACTGGTCCGCGTGGCCGTGGCTGGCTGCCTGCTTCCGTAAATGAGGCTTTGTCAGAACTCAGCCATGGCTCACGCTCACGTGTTGTCCACGAGGCTTGTGCAAAACAGCGGGCCGAGCGGTGTAACAGAGCACAGAGCTCGCACACTGCGTGCTGGTGGCCCCGAGGGAAGGCTGGCCAGCCCTGCCGGTGCACCCCGACTCCTAGGGCCCCACTAGCAGGTCGTCGCGAAAGGCCTGATGTGTTTGGAGCCTCTGCTCCGGGGCTGGCGTGAAACCCCCAGGGCGCCCAGCACTGGCCCCTGGTGTCGGGGCCCAGCAGTACCGGTGCACTGGATCTGACGGACGGACGGACGGACGGACGGAGCCTTCCTGGGCACCCCTCCCAGCCTGCAGGGAAGCGCTCTTGATGAGCCCCCCGCCCCTTTCTAAAGTCCTGCTTCCGTCCCCCAGCCTCTGCCAGGGTCCACGCCCATGACAATGCCAGCGCCGCCGCAGCAGGTCCGCTGTGGCCTTACAGCTGCCCGCCTTCCCTCGGGGTCCCTCGGTGCTGCCCGCTGTGCAGGGCCTGACAAGGCCCGACGTGGACGAACGGGTCCTATGGAAGGGACCCCACAGGGCAGCGTGAACACAAGTTCCCCACTGGGCAGCTCCGGTGGGGAGTCAGGCCCAGCTTGTACCCGCTTCCTAAAAGGCTTATCTTTGCCTGCAGCCAGGCCAGGGTGTCCGTGCATCTGGGTTCACACACCTGGAAATGCCCCTGTGACATCCTTCCTTCTAAGTGTGCAAGAGAGAGGCCGTCCAGCCCCGCCTGGCTCCCTCCCTCCCTCGCGGAATCTTCCTTGGCTCCTCCTCCATCTCCGACGGGAAGAAGCTGTAAGGCGGTCCCTCCCTGGAGCACCTGAGATCTTGGTCCCCAGCACACGTCCTCAGTTTGGCCCAGTAAACGCCTAAGAAGTCTCTGTAGCTTGGACATTTGTTCTGTCCAGGCTTAACGCTGGTTTTGGTGAGAGGGCAGAGCTGGCACTAGGTCTGATGAAACCGCTTCTGCAAACCTAAGACGCCAGAAAGACGCTTCCTGGCCTTCCTGCACCTGGCACTCCTGGGTCCCCAGCATCATCTTCAGGTCAACCAGGTCCAGTCCCCTCAGCCACCCCTCAAGGCAGGAAGCAGAGGCCACGTCATCCGTGTTCTCCAGGAAGTCGGGTCTCGTGAACGGGCCGCCACGCTCCCTGCCCGGTTCTGCCGTCACCTCAGAGCAGGCACACGGAGCAGACGCCACAGAGCAGACGGCTGGGCTTCCTCCTGCTCCCGCACCACCTCCCGGGGCCGCAGGGGAACCAGTGTGCGATGGGAGGAACTGGGGAGACGACAGAAACTGACACGTACAGCAGTGAGGCCTGGGCAAGGGCCACCATTCTGGACTTGCATTATGAACTGTTGACAATAATTAAACGCACGCTGATTGCTACTCCTTAAGATCGGTGGTCGCAGACATCAATCAACCGGCTTATTTTGCGACTTCTTGGAGCTGGGTCTGACCCGACCACTAAGGACGGCGCACAGCCTGACCGCACTCCGAGGGCTGCCCGCCTCCAGGAGGGCGCCTGTGTAAGAGCTGCATTCAGTGCGCCTATCGGAAGCTGAGCAGACACATCACAAGGCTGCGGCCCCCTTGCAGCGAGAGAAACGGCCGACCTGCTGCCAAGGGCCGGGACAGTCCACAGAACACAGTCGCACGGTCTCTGATGCGCTGAGATTGCGGGAGGACGGAAGGGAGAAAGCCAGGCGAGCGCACCTTCCTGGGCGCCACTCCAGGTGCGCGCCCACACGCACAGCCACAAGGGACTGGCTCCTTAAACCCCTCAATGGGCAGTGAGAGGCCTGGGCGGGACGGACGCCCACCTACCTCCCAGGAGGAGTGGTGGTTTGTTGGAGCCCCCTTTTTGTCAGCACCCCAAATAAGAGTAAGAATGAGATATTCAGGTAAGGAACCTTTAACCTTATTGTAAATTAATCTGAGCTTTTCACAGGGATATCCAATTCAGCAGAAAACCAGGTGCACATATGCATCACCCATGGACACAGACAGTAAGGTGGTGAAGGCCTAGGAGGGGGTAGGGGGAGGGGACATATCTAAGTTTCAACAATAAAGCCTTTTAAAAAGATTGTATATTTGTGGTGTATGTTTGACCCCTGGCTTGCAGTCACCCTGTGTAAGACCCCTGCAGAGTGAGAAAGTTAACAACAAAACCCACCCAAGTACTCACAGGAAGTGAAGTTACATAGATGGTGTGTGAGCAATGGGCACGCCGTGTCCCGGGAGCTTCCTTCACTCGCAGGCGGCGATGGGGCCCAGAGACCAGCGTCCGTCGTCCCGGCCACCACAGCGGATCTCGGCTAGAGGCGTTGAACTGTGTTTTCAGGGTCGTAAACTTTTCCCGACCGTGAACAAGCGTGTTCCTCTCTGGTCACTGGCCACGTTCCGAGCGGTTCTCCTGGTTTCTGCTGATGAGACAGAGCTGGCGTCTGGCCCCTGGAGGACGTGGGAGCTGAGGGATAAGGGCTGAGTGATGGCGCCGAGTCTGCGTGCCAGGCCTTCACCGTGAAACTCCTCTCTCTCCACAGGCAGACGCCCCATGTGAAGAGGGGAAGGGGCGCCATCCAGGTGCGGGGAGCGCGGTCAGCATCCGTGGACAGGCGTTTCCCAAGATGTTGCTGAGGTAGCCTCCGGGCCGGTCACGGTCACGGCGTCCGCGCAGCATGGGCTGCATGAAGTCCAAGCAGACCTTCCCCTTCCCCACCACCATCGAGAGGTGTGAGCCGCGGGTGCCGACGCCCGTCACCCGGGACGGGGAGGACGTGGAGGACGTGGAGGGCGTGGAGGAGGTGGAGGCCGTGGAGGAGGAGGTGCAGGCGGTGGAGGAGGCGAAGGTGGAGGAGGTGCAGGCGGTGGAGGAGGCGGAGGAGCCCGCACAGCCCGCAGAGCCCAAAGTCGTGGTGTCCCAGTTCGCGCACCGCCTGTCGCAGGAGATCCTGAGCGGCGCCCTGCAGCAGTGGGCGGACAGCAACGCCAAGTACGCGGACATCCCGTTCATCGAGAGCGACGGCCTCGGCCTGGCCCAGCGGTGACGCAGCGGGGCTGCGGGCAGAGTCGGTGCTAGTTCACATACATGAAACAGAAGCAAAACGTCGTATGAATAAACACATGTGACTCCTTCTAACGTAAAGGCCAGTCTATGACCATCGCCACAGGACAGGCCCCAGGTGAAATGTGTCTGCAGCAGGTGCTCCCTGTGGTGGGAGTTCAGCGGAGAGGGCGAGCCACAGGCCTGTGTCCCGCCGCCATCAGGGTGCCCGAGACAGGACAGCAGCGCCATCAATAAAAACGCAATAGTGCCCAAGGCTCCAAGCGGCCCAGAGACCCCTGAACTAAGTAGTACCTGTTGCTCGTTTACACGGAAACCCCACGCATGGAGAGGATTTTTCGGGAAATGCCGTGGCAGTGGTGGTGCTCGAGCCACAGGGATTCCCAGTGGGTTCTGTTTGTCAGAACCATGTGCGTCCAGGATCCCCGTCTCCTACCCCAATGGCCCCGCTTTAGGAATCAGCTCTGAGGAGAGAGCCCCCGGGAGCCTGTCCTTCGGACACGTCCGCTGCCCTGGCCGGGGCTCGGGGGGTGGGAGTGGGGTCCGTACACCCAAAGGCTGTGGCTTGATTCCCGTCAGGGTCCATACCGAGGTTGTGGGTTCAATCCCCGATTGGGGCAACCAATCGATGTTTCTCTCTTCCCCTTCCTCTCTCTCTCAAAACAATAAAAACATCCTGGAGTGAGGGTTAGAGACAAGAGTGTTATGCTTTCATCTGTGACATGTGCCGCCTTGAACCTCAGGACCCTCGGCACCGCCCTGAGCAGATGACCCAGACTCTCCGTGGAAGGCACTTCCTAAGACAGTTGATGAAGTCCTGGCAGTAACGTTCAGTGCAGGAACCAAGCCCCGGGGACAGAACCAGCCGGGTGCCGGTAGGAACAGCGACCAGCCGACGGCAGGGCCTGGGCGTGGTGCTGAGCGTGCGCCAGGCTTTGCTCCCAGCGAGGTGCAGGGCTCGAGGCTGCTGCTTATTGTGACGCTGTCCTAGGGCATTTACCGCCATACACGGTGCTGTTCTCATAAAGCTGACTTTGCAGGAAGCTTTTTTAAAGGAATTTAGGACCGTTTGAGATCAGTAGTGACAGAACATGTAGAGGGGAAGGTGCTCCGACATGACTGGTAGGAAGACTGGGACTGAGTCTCTAGGATGGTCTTTCCAAGACCTGCCCCGTTGAGTTTAACTGGAAAGAGCTAAGCCCGTGTGAGCGCCTTTCATTAAGGAACGGGCTCGTCACGGAAGCCTCCAGAAGCTGAGACAGGCGTGGCCTCCAGTGAGGTACCAGGCAGCGGGCCTTGCAGCAGGCGGAAGTGCCGCCGCTCACTTCACAGCTGTGCGGAGGCCCCGGCCGAGCACAGGGGTCTGAGTCACGGGCTGAGGAGGTCTGCGACGCGCGTGACGGGCCACCCCCCACTGCCCGGGACGCCTGTCACTCACCTTCCTTCCACTGGTCCCGGCCGTCCTAGCAGCTCAGGAAACCCCTCGAATATGAGGAACCGAGCCTCAGGCTGAGGCAGACACCCTCCCGGCACGGCAGGTGCTTCCACGGAAGAAAATGCAGGTTTCTGAGTGTTGACACCGACTCAGACGGAAGCCCGGGCAAAAGCCCAGGAGCTGCCGTTCTCGCTCATGCTACACCTCCGCCTCGGGACCCTGTGCACAAGGCCATTTGCTGGAAGACAAGTTACATAAACAACACATTGTGAGGAGAACACAGAGCCATATGCCAGCAGCACACGGAGGGCCGCAGGCTGCTGGGCTGGCTTATTCCAAGTGTTTAACCTCCGCTCCTCCTCCGCTCAGGGGTCACGGAAAGCCACCTGGTCCCCGTCGCTGTGTGTGACCTTGACACGATGCACCTCCCTGACCCCACGGCCGGGCACCCTGGCTCCCGAGCCCTTTCTCGGGGTGTGCCGTCCTGCGACACAGACCCTGGAGATGCACCTGCGCTGGGAGCAGGCGGGAGGGAGCCGCCGACACGCTGAGGGGCACGTGGCTGGCACTGATGACGAGATGCAGGAGGCCCTCTCTAATAGGACAGTTCAGGCTCCGTCAGACCTTACTGTTAAATACTAGGTTTACTCCCTTTTAAGGGGGAAGGACTGTTGGAGGGAGGAGACATACAACAGGGAAGAATCATTAGTTACTGAACAGGGACAACATGTTCCAACTTGTGTCCCACGCAGATGAACTAAGAAGATGGCCAGTGAGGGAGGAGAGCGGGGCAGAGTGTGAGGCGCAGCACGAACGCCAGCTCCCCAGAAACACGCAAACAAGCCCCACGCTCCCCACTGAGGAGCGGCCAGTGCCCCACACGACACCAGCCCCGGGGCCAGCACGGGCCACGACCCCTGCAGGCGGCAGAGGGAACGTGCCCTCCTCCGTTAGGCGCGTGACCTCCCCCACCGCCGGGCCTGGCCTCCTGCCAGGTCAGGTCATCGCGGGCAGCGCAGGCCTGGGTGTGAGCGCCCTCCACTCTCAGAGGCCTCGCCCGTTCTCTGCCAACTCCCCATGGTTATTATTAGCTCTGAAAGCACAGGGGTGAAGGGGATGGAAATGACTCTAGTCCCAAGGAATCCTTTGTCAAATTGCCTTATTGGCACTAAAAATAGGCACAGTAAAGGCACAAAGCATGATATCCTGCATCCTAGTCAATATCACGGACATTTACGAAATGGAGGGACTGTACTTGTGTAATGTGAGAAATCTAGAGGTAAGACACGCTGTAAATCCCGTCAGCAGTCATTTAAAACAAAGCCCTCACACAGGTTTACTTCCTCCTGCATTTGTGTGACCAGCGGGACACGCACAGCTCAGAGGCACTCTCTCCATCTCATTTGGCAAAACTGACATTTTATCAGCCAGTTCCCCTCCCTGTAATTCTTAGCTATGAAATGGAATATTTTTTCCAAATATTTTTGTGGAAACACTTCTTTGTACAATAAAAGTCTAGTTGCAACTAACTAGCTATGAGTTCCTATTTAATTTCAGGAAGCAAATGCTTTTAACACTGCGCACTTACAGGCTTTTCAACACAGAGGCCTTAATATTTCCTGTTTCTCACAAACACACAGTGAGCAGAACCCACTAATGCACGTGGCTGCGTGGGCCATTCGGTCCAACTCCGAGCGTTGAGAACAGAATGGTCAGCGTGCTCCTTATTGGGGCACCTTTCTTCCTACTCTGCTCCTGAAGTTTCTGGAAGCTCCTTCCTGCTGCACAGACTGAGAACAGAATGGAAAGCCAGTCCTCTGGGCTGCAACTCCCCACCTATGGAAGGTCCAGGATAAAACCTTTGATGTCATTTTCAGTTCCACCACTTTCCTTTAAAAAAATTTTTTTTTAATTCATTTCAGAGAGGAAGGGAGAGGGAGAGCCAGAAACATCAATGATGAGAGAATCATGGATCGCTGCCATTCTGTTCTTACGACCCTGAAATTCTTAGTTTCTGAGGGCTTCCCCACGCATATGTTTACAACATAAACAAGAAGCTGACCTTTAACTTATTCTCACCTAGACTTGCAGGTCCCTGCGGCTTCTCGTGCCCTGAACACCCTCGTCTTGTCAACAGGACCAGTTACTGAAGGGGTTTCTATTCTAAGTGGAAGTCCCGTGTTCACTTCTCCCTCCTGACTGAACTGGGTAAGGACCAATGGCAATGCCCACGCGGACGCTGGATGCCAACTGCAGGCACCAGGGCGTCCCCATCTCGGAGCCTGGACTCCCCAGCTCCCACCTGCCGGCCAGCGGGTGCTGCGGAGGGAAGTGAGGCCCCACTCTCCCAGGGAGGGGAGGGTTAACTTTAGAAAAGCCGAGGCTGAGTGAATAACACTGGAGAGACAACTTCACGGAACCTTTCTCTTTGCCTGAGATTTCGAATGCTATAAAAGGAGCACTTTTACAGTCACTCACAATCATTTTAAAATAGACTTATACATGGAGAAAACTCTATGAGGCATTAACACAGTATCCAAAAACATGATTTTATTTTTTATCATCTGTACATAATCTACTTAATCAACATATAAACGCCTTCCCAAAGCCGGACATTAAGCTCCCATTCCCACCAGCTCTCCCACCCAATCTCTGAGGACCTCACGTGTCCCATCTCCAGTCAGGGGCTGGCAGATGTCCTCTGAAAGGGCGGAGAGGGAACAGCTTGGGCTGACAGGCCTCGTCTGGGCTGTGATCTCCCGAGGGGAAGTGCACACAGGCGAGTCCAGCTACGCTCCAACGCTTTACTTGCGGACACCGATGGTTCATGAAATGCCCGTCTCTGCTCTCCTTCCCCCCCCATTCAACTGCAGAAGCCGCCCAGCTCGCGGGCATGTAACGCAGCAGCCGACTCGGGCACGAGCCTCCGTTTGCCAACCTCTGCTCCAAACTACCTCCCAAACCCAGGCACTTCACAACTTCAAATCGTTGCTCCCCAGAGACTTGAAGTAACTGCTCACGGCCTCATCAGTCACTTCTGCCAGGCTGGCCGGCTTCCACTTTGGACTCTGGTCTTTATCTATTAAAACTGAAGTGAAGAACAAGAAACGTCAGTTCATTTCTTGCTGAGTCACGATTCTAATTACCGAATGACAAACGCCTGGTACGGGGCGTGGTTTTCCAGCACATGTCTTTCTGCAAAGCATGAATTTGTGTGTGCCTGTTCCTCTTAAAAGTGAAGCCCCACAGACTCCGGACGGGCGGCCACGTGCTGATGAGGACTGTGTGGTAGCCGCCAGCCCGGGCCTCCGAGCGAAGCCAGGGTTTGGGGCTAGAAGCATCGTCGTCTTCCGGCAAAGCCTTCGTGAAGGAAACCTCCTGTTATACAGCAGCTGGACCAGCGCTGGGGTGACTGGGAGGACAGCAGGAGGGAGGAGGGCCCAGAGGAGCCTCCTCACCCAGCTGGGGTGAGGGAAGATGACTGAAGGGAGAGGAAGGGGCTTACGCATAACTCAGCGTGGACCCTGCCTCTGCTGAGCCCTCCGCTCACACAGCCCTGAGTCAGCGCCGACGTCACCGGCATCGTGAGAAGCCCCTCCAGCCTCAGTGGTGTCATCACTGAGTGCAGCCAGGAGACCCCACAGGAGGGTGAGCGCGAGGCGTCTGTAAGGCCCCTTTAAGGGGGGGTGCCAGCTTCCGGCTGACAGTGCGCAGCTACCGATGCTGCCATTGGGGACTGAGGGGGCAGGCAGGGCCTCTGTGGGGTTTCTTAAGTTGTCGCAAAGCCGTGAAGGGAAGGGGCCGCACTCACATGGCTGTGGCGGGCGGTTTGAACCATGTTTACTAGTAAAACGTGCACAGTCCCTGTGAAGAGTGGAAGCATATCAACAGACAAACTCTACATGAACCAGACACCGCCCGTAGGGTTCAAGGTAAATGATGAGAGCAGCGATCTGGGACCAGGAAGCAGGCTGCTGGAACGGGGAGGGCGGGGGGGGGGGGGGTGAATGCATAGTTAAGTGTGGACACCGGGGTGCAGTTCAGCTGCCTGGCTGTGAGGCCCCAGCATCAGCATCAGCCCAGTGAGGGTGCTGACCACGATGTCATCCTCCCAGCCAACCTGAGCTGCACATCCGGGGCAGTGCCCATGCCAGCAGCCCTGGGACAGGCTTCCCGCCAGGACCCCCGGGCCCCCTGCCAATGCTGTCTGCCGCCCGGACGTCCCCTCAAGGGCACAGGAAAGAGTGATTAACTCGGAGTCTATTTTATTCCCAACGAGCACTTTGTCAGCAGACAGGCAGCCTGCATGGAGGCAGCTCCGCCCGCAGGTCCCTGAGACGCGGTCCGGTCCGCCCGCAGCTGCTCTGCTAGAATGACCTGCTTTGCTTTCCCCGACACCCAGAAGTCTGCTCTACATGCGAACAACAAACACCTCTGACAACCACGCCCCTAATTTGCGACTTTACTTAATTTGATGACATTTTATAATTAGCAAATTAACGCAAACATTTGATTATGCAAAAACACCGAACAGTTTTCCTGAGAACAGATGCTACTTTCCGAATAAAAAGGTTATGCTGGTTAACGAGGGGCTATCCTTTCTCCTCAGTAAAAAATAGCCTGATAAGAACCTGTATTGTAATCAGAATTCAATGCTGCTCGGTTTCAACTCTTTTTCCTTAAAATCACGACAGTGTATCTAGAAACAACATCTGTCTTTTTTAAGTTTAAGAAGGGTTGCTCTCACATAAAATGAAGGTTTGGCAGCAGAACCCAAGTACCACACAGATCCTCCTAAAATCAGAAGTCTAGGCTCTGATCCCACGTTGCTGGGAATTAGTGGGGGAAATGCCTATTTTATTGGTTTCTGTACGACCTATGACCGCCTCCGACTCAGGGCCATGTGCCTCTGAGAGGGTTTGAGCCCAGGCTCACTTCAGATAGGAGATCAGGCCAAAAGCTCAGCAGTCCCCCACGCAGTGCCCGGTGCTGACCGAAGCTCTATTCAGGCAGAGCGCATCCAGTCTTACATGAAAGTGATCAATAAAAACATAAGAAAACCAGACATGCAAAGTGCAGGCAGAGGGAAAACTCACAGAAGTAATAGCTGTTTTTAGGGATATGGGCATCTGCATAAAAATTATTGCAAATTTGCTAGGAACGAAAAAAATCAACCACTTGCTTCTTCTAAGTATCCTGGCTTTGAAGATGATAAGCAAAAGTATAAATAAAAACATTCACATATTTTACTAATTATGTAGTATGGCTTTTCTCCTGCATTGTGCGGAATAAACGTACCTCTCTGAGGCTTCAGCAGCAGAATGAGTGACAAGTTCACACTGCCTCTGCCCGCGACTTTAAAAGCAGGGTGACCTCTTACATATAAACTAGGGAGCAGTGAGCAGTCAAGTAAATTTTTAAAACAATATTGGATGCAATGACTTATCTCCCCTATATGCCAGTTGGTAATTTCTTAACACTTTGCCATCTGTAAAAGTCTAATTTTCACTAATAAGACAGCAACCACCTGGGATGAACGTGTGCGCTCACTCGTTCTGCTCCCGTGAGAGCCGAAGGAGCCAGCTGTCACTCACCTGCCCGGACGCCTTCGGGAAAGTCATGGCCTCCCTGGAAGACAGAGAGGAGGGAGAGCTGTGAGCGCCCTTGCTCCCGGCGACCTCTCTACACCCGCTGAGCTCCCCCTCCCACGGCCACTGCTGCCACAGCATCGGAGACGGACCGACGGGTCCCCACTGCACCACCACCCACCCCCTCTGCTCAAGTGTCTCCACGGCACCTGAGCTAACTGGCCCGCTGTTTCCATAGAGACATCCGGCCGTTTTCCTATCGATGGCTCCGTGTTTTGCACGCTCTACAGTGACCATACGTTAGCTCGTAGCTCTGAAATGGTAACACTTAGACCAATTCTCACCACACAAGCTTGGCTCAGCCGGTACTCCATGGTCAACACGTCCTTCAAGGTCTTTGAGGACCCCTCTGTGAGCTGCCGCAGTGTGATCTTGAGAGATGTTGGAGACATTTTATTAATTACCTGTTAGGAAAAAGCATTTGCTCGTTTTAGACCAACAGTTCCTCTACTGTCTATAACAAACCAGCTGAGTTTGGGTATAAATCGTGTTAAAATGTGCTCCTTCATACAGCACTTTCAGATGACAAAGTCCTAGCCAAGTCAGGCCACGCTTTAGGCTAATCCTGCCCAAGCACCAAGCAAACATGACAGTGAGGAAAAATCCATCTCTTCACCTGCTGAAACGGACTCAGTGGGAGGACCACTCAGCATGTGTGTAACGTGTCATCACTGGGTGTGCACCTAACACTATGCTTCTAACGATTAGTAAGGATGTTGAAGAAATGATGTCTCTGTCACAGTCAATCCTGGAGAGAAGGGACCCCGAGATGTAGAGGACGTGGTGGCACTTGGCACAGGAACGCGGCTAAACCCCTGGGACCCGCAGGAAGAGCACAGGGGCCCGAGGACGCCCGGGGCGAGGCGCCACCCGAGAGGCTCGCCGAGACAAGCACTGGGACCCTCCTCAGATCCGCCCAGCGTTTCTCTCATCCGCAAACGTTTCCCCTGAGCACCAACGGCTACCTTCTCCTTCAGGTGGTTCTGGGTGGTTCTGGGGCGTCTACGTGGGCCAGGGAGTTTGATCCCACATCATGTCATGTCATGTCATGTCATGTCACGTCACGTCACGTCACTCCCAGCAGAGACAGGCATTTTGGAGCCGCGTTCATTCACCAGAGCTCCAGGTGAGCCGAGTGAGAAGGAAACTCGCACTTCCCGTGTGTGTGTGTGTGTGTGTGTGTGTGTCCCTCCCTCTGGGGATGGGCTTGCCGGGACCCCATTCTGCGTGCGGGACGATCACACGCCAGAGGGACAGAGGGCAGCGGGAGGGCGTCCAGTCCCCCCCCACAGCCCCCCCAGCCCAGGGGGGGCAGTGCTCTCAAGGGAGGTGGCCCCTGCACATCTGAGCTGCTGTAAAGTGACACCAGATCGCCTGTCCGGCAAAGTGCTGCGTGGCTGTTTGCAAAGGGAACGGCTAAGGGCACACTCTGCCACGTTGCTGAGGACAGTAATAACAGGAATACTAGTTTTTATACTGCTCTGGAACAAGAGAACCAACTTGAAGTCAGAATCCCTGAAACAGAAAACCATCATCTACATTCATGCAAACATTCCTAAAAGCTGTAATAACGTTAACGACTTTGTGAGTCAGGGAGAGAGACCGCTGTCCCACCTGCTCTGATGCGTGCCTGCCGCGTCTAGAAGTCAGAAAGCTGTCTCAGGGGTCTAACCTGCCGGCACGGCATTCCCACAAAGCGGCGCCTCCCGCTGTCGCCAGCCGAGCCGGCTGTGGAAGACTGTGCCCCTGAGACTGAGAAACTGCCTAGGCTCCGTGGTGGCTGGAGATGGAGCCTTGTGCTAGTTTAATCAGTTTGGACTGCCACGCGTCCAAAACGGAAACCATCCCCACACGCCACGATATTGTGAATTTTATTTAAAAAATCAATTTGCAATGAATATTATAAAAATAAATATATTACTCACAATCCGGGTGTTCTTGAACATTTTCAGCCGAAAATTCTCACGAAAAATGATTTTAAAGTTGGTCAGGGCTGCCACTTAAGGAAAACATTTTGTTATAGACGTGCGTGGCGTGGGGAAGGTCCGCCGCTTGCGTCTACAGACGCTTATGGCACACAACGGGTTTAAAAAGATTTCTTTTTTTTATTAAACCTACTGCTTAGAACAGGGGTGGGCAAACTTTTTGACTCGAGGGCCACAACGGGTTCTTAAACTGGACCGGAGGGCCGGAACAAAAGCATGGATGGAGGGTTTGTGTGAACTAATATAAATTCAAAGTAAACATCATTACATAAAAGGTACGGTCTTTTTTTTTTTAGTTTTATTCATTTCAAAAACGCGGGCCGTAGTTTGCCCACGGCTGGCTTAGAAAGACCATATATTGAGCTGTTGCTCATTAAACAGAACTTACAGATCAATGTCACACCTGCAACATGCTGCAAGGTGCCCGTCCCTGGTGCTTCCCCCTCAGAACCAGGAGGACCCTGGAGGGGAAGCGTGCCTCGGGCTCCCCGTGACGGCCAAGGGCTGCCCTGGCATCGGCAGGGAGACACGGCACTTGGGTTTGGTGAGGTTTTGTGGGAACAACAACAGTGGGCTATGCCACCACCACAGAAACCTGCCCCGAGGAGGCCTCCCCGTCCAAGAACCCACCTGCTCAGGGCAGAAGTGACCCATGCTTTACCTTCAGCTGCTCCAGGGCGAAAGGCGAACCATCTTGCTGTAAATTTTCAATAATCTGTTCCACGGTGTTGGCGGAGAAGCAACTGTCGGAAAGGGGACACGTGATGTCACATTAAGATCCCTCCTCCTGTGACAGCCAGAACCCCGGCACAGCTTCCCCTCTCCAGGCGCAGGAGCTCAAACACCGCTCCACTCTCGGCAACACAGCACAGGGCCTAAGTCTTCTCTTTGCATCTCCTGCATGTATTCTTTGTAAGTAATGATATCGAAACTGAAAAATTGGTGCTTCTAACTGTAGAGACGGTTGTCCTTTTTTCCAGTAGTTCCCCTCCTCCTGTGTTCTTAAGCCAGTCTGTCAATCTCTCAGATCACTCACTAAACCACTGGCCGAGGGCTTGATACATCAGACCTTCAGGGAAGACGACTTTACAAAGATAAAAGGTAAGTTAATTCAATTATTTCTAGCCTCTCTTTCCCACTTAAAAAAAAAAGATGTTTTTCAGTAACACGAGTCGGTGCGGCAGATTACCAACAGAGTGGCCAAGAAGCTGTTTTCAAAGGTAAGTGAAATAAAAGCACTGTGCTCTCCAGTTGCAGAATTTGGTGCATCCTCAACACAATGGCATTCCATTAGCAGGTCCCATTGCCCAGCCCCGGGGGCAGGGGCACCTGGGGCTCAGTACCTGTTTATCCTGCCCAGGTGCTCCTCCAGTGCGAACGCCTTGCCCTCATCAACCTTGGACTGTTTGAAAACAAAAATATTGACATTCATTTGAAGTAACTCAAATCCTTTAAAAATCTTCAATCAGTTCATATTGAAGGATACACTATGTGACAGATTATCGCTTTCAATCCAATTCCATCCAACCGTCTCCTGACTGCCTACCACTGTGTTCAAAGCTCAGACGTGTCTATCCCAGGCCACACCTGACAGGGTCGAAGGCCAAGTGGTCCTGTACTTTTACTTCACATCATCTCTGTGACACGTGTCCGTCACAGCGTGTCAGGAAGTTCAAGGACTGTAAGGACCGGGAAGTCGTCCTGCCCAACACCACGTGACGCAGGCATCCCGCCAGCTCCCTGCAGCCGCAGAGATAAAACAGCGCCCCGAGTGCGGGGACAGCTGTGGCTAGAACTTGTGTTTAATTCTGGGCCAAAAATAAGCCCTCGTGTTTCTAGCTCTAATTCACCCTCTTCCACCTTCATCGTTCCTCACACTGCAGGGTGTGCCCTCACAACCCAGGTCCCTCTACTGCACCAATTCCAGTTTATCCAGGTCATTCATTTTTCTTTAATATGCTTTCATTGATTTGAGAGAGAGAGGAAGGGAGAGGGAGATAGACACATCAATGATGAGAAACATCGATCGGCTGCCTCCTGCACACCCCCTACTGGGGATCAAGCCCGACACCCGGGCATGTGCCCTGACGGGGAATAGAACGGGTGGCCTCTTGGTGTGGGATGTCACCCCACCAGTGAGCTGGATCGGCCGGGCTCAAGGCCCTTCCTAAAGTGTGGAACACACACCTTCGCTGCAGGTGTGGCTGAGTCCTAGCAAAGCACAGCACGACGCACGGGCCCGTCTGCTTTGGATACGAGGCTTTTATGAGAGGACCAGCTGGGGCAGTCCTGGGCAGTCCTTCCAGGCTGCACAGTCACTCTCTGCACTAAAGCGTTTACCCCGGGCCACTGTGGCCGCATTCTCCGCCCCGCACTTAGGGGATGATATTTCGGACTGAAATCCAAATGAGCACATAGCTCCACTGCGAAGCGTAACTTAACATGCACAGATGCTCAGTCTCACTCATGGCTCCCAGCTGCCCACAGCCTTGGAACATAGCAAGTACCTTCCGTGCTAATATTTGGTCATTTGTCTTCAGTGCCCAAAATAAAGGTGAGACAGGTGTCTTGTTTTCATAACAAGTCCCTCTCGGCCACAGCACTGTTACTGTTAACGAGGGAACTCTGGAAAGCCCCGAAGGACAGGAGGGCTGGTTGCCGGGGGAACGACCTTGGATTCGAGTTGGACTCGGTCCCCACCCTGACAGCTCTGCAGACTCTTCCTCTGTGGCTTTTAGAAGGCTGCGCACATTTATCCACATCCACGCACCACAGTGCTCATCACCGCTCTCCAGCCACTCGCCCTTCCCCGGAATTAAAACCTGAGGTTAGAATACTGACAAGGTTACCTTTGCATGATACGTTTCCAAGACATCTGCAATCTTTTCTTTGGAAGGAGATTTCAGGGATAATAAATCTTCTTCTAACAGGCTCAGCTAAAGGTAAAAAAATAACAATAATAAGGGGGGACAGGAAACAGATTTGAAACACCACAGTAACACAAGGCACTTCAGAAACCTTATATTCTTTTTTGAAATTCCTGTCTTAAAATGATGATGCTCTCTTCAGCTGAGCTACTGAAGGAAGTTTTCACTGAAGTTGTGCACACACGTTCCCACACAGCAGGTGTTGTCTTGCGAGGAATGAGTAAAGGTGGGAGAACTAAAGAGAATAGTTCTCCTTTCCTACAGTTCCTTCTCTGCCAACACCGTGGAACATAGTTGCAAAGATTGAGACATTCATCTTTGTTCCCCTCTGACTACTGAGCAGGTGAAATGCGGTACCACAACCAAAGATCTGAACTGTACACTGTAACGGACTTGAACTAAAATGATCCCACGGAACTGTGGCCGCTACAGTGGCCGTAGGCTCTGTAACACGGCCACACCGAGCTCTCCCCTGGCCCCTCACACACCTCCCCTGTGCTCCGTCAAATGGGGCTTTTCACTGTTTCCAAAACATAGCGGTGCTTGCTGCCCGAGTACCCGTGTCCCGCCTGCTCGTTAAATGTCTCCTCCATCCAGAAGGCCTCCCCTGACCACACTCTCTCAAACCCAGCGGGGCTGCGCTCCACGAGCAAACTCCGGTCCTTCCGTAGGGAGCCCTTCTTCCTGACCCAGTGACCTGCATCTGTGGGAGGAACCTGAAGCTGGGGAGCTGAGACCCTTCCAGGCGGTCACAGAGCTTTAAGCACGAGGTCCAGGATTCAGACCTCAGCCACCCACTGCCTCCCATGCGATATGAGTTATTCCAACAACACAAGATGCAATCGTCCAAGTACTTACCTTTTCAGAATCTACAAAGTGTGTAGCAATTCCTGCTCTGTACACATCTCTTCCTTTCAGCCTGAATCCTGTTAAGGCAAGGAAGTAACCCAGTCTTCCCTGAAGTCTTGGCAAGAAATAGCCTCCGCCCACATCAGGGAACAGTCCTAATTAAATAAGAGAGACAGCAGGGGTTCAAATGAGAGAGATGCATGTAACTTTCTCTGCTCTAGGTGAGACCAGCACTGAGCAGTACTCGTGTATGAGGAAACCACTGTGGCTCAGGCAAGAACCGTAAGAAAGCGTTACACAGCCTGGCCAGTGTGGCTCAGGGGGTTGCACATCACCAAAAGGTTGCCAGTTCAATTCCCGGTCAGGGCACATGCTCAGGTTGTGGGTTCTATCCCTGGTCGGGGTGTATGTGGGAGGTAACCAACCAAAACATCAATATTTCTCTTTCTTCCCCCCCCCCACCCCTCTCCTTTCCTCTCTCTAAAAAATCAATAAAATAAAAAAGGGGAAAAAGAAAACCAAACAAAAACAAACAAACAAAGAGGACATCGTAATACTTTCAATAATAAAGATAAATTTTAAAAACCAGATTATGCCCAGCAGACACAAGATGAAAACCACCCAATGTTTGCCAGTGAGTGATCGGATGAGCAAACTGAACTCTGTTCATGAGATGAAGTCTTATCTGACAATAAAAAATGGACAGTCTACAGAAAGAGGGAAGAAAGGATCACACAGAACAGCACCGGGACCGCACCAAGCTGGAAGAGTGCCTGTTCCCGCCGGTCAGACGAGAAAGCACGTGATGCATGGAGCACTGAGCAGAATACAAAGAGGAAAGTACGTAGCACTCGCCTGGGCAACTGCTCAGATCCTGCACCAAAACATCCACAATCTTGCAAGACTTACAAGGATCAAACTGTTTGCAAATGACTTAAGTCCTCCCAGAAGCAAGCTCACCAATATTCATAAGAAAACAAAACATCCAGCACCCAACAAGGGGAAGTTTACAATGTCTAGAGTCCAATTAGAAACTGCCAAGCATCTTAAAAAGCAGGAAGATGCTACCCGTAGTGAGGTGATAAACAACCAATCAGAATGGACCCAGAACTGCCCTGGCTGGGGCGCTCAGCTGGTCGGAGCACTGTCCAGTTTATTAGCATAACGTTGTTCATAATATCCCCTATTTCCTAATAGTTCAGATTACATTGTTGTTGAAGAAATTAACCAACTCTTGTGTGACACACAGCGCAGTCAAAATAAGTTGAAATAAAAGTAATTATGAAAATTTTGGGTTTGTTTTTTACCTATTGCAGTTTCTGGCATTGCAAAAAGAGACTTTTCAGTAGCCACTCGGAATAGCCCATGAACGGAGAGTCCGACTCCCTAGGCAAATAAGGCAAAACGTTTTAAAATACTGTAAGAGAATAAAAACAAATTCGTACACTCAGAATATTATGAGCAAATAATCGTCTTTCTATTCCACAAGACTTGCCCTCAGGAGACAGACTGAGGGAAACCCTGAACCACACAACTTGAGAGACCTGACTGGTGACAAGTACCCGGCCTCCGTGTCTGCGACGGGTTTGTTCTGGCTCCCACTCTGTGCCATGCTTCACGTCCTTCCCCCCAGCCCCCCAAGGCCCTCTCATTCCAAACAGAAGAACTGTGACTACCCAGACCACTGAGTGTCTGCGTGGGACCAAGGTCAGAAAAGCACCATCAGGCTACTCTAGGAAACTTCTGCAGCTTTAAGTAGAATGTTAGCACATCTTACTTATTCATGTTTCGTCAGATAAAATCAGCAATATCTTTTTTCTCAGATACCATGGGGCCAACCATGTAACTCTTTAAAAATGGTTACTAAGACACAAGTTTTAGAAAATAAAATGGCTGGCTGGAAGCCTCTGATTTGGTGAATGTCACTGTAAAGGGCAAACTATACAGTCATCTCTGAATAAACATAGTTGAATAAACAGGTATTTGAATAAAATAAATAAGGAGTATACACGTGATGACAAAGTATCAAAAAATTTATGTCAGTGTTCACACTGTAACATACATTTCCTATATTATATTCTTTTTACGTTGTTCAAAACTTCTATTATATTTAGTTCTCATTCTTAATCCTTTGTAACCAGTGTACCCTAACTTTGACACCACACAGTTAAATGAGTTAAAACATGTAAATTATCTGAAACAATGTCAAGCACTTTGAGTTCTATCAGTGTGAACTCATTAGAAAGGGGCTCATTTCTATCTGATTATTCTAATTTTCCATTACATTTCCTCAGTTCAAGTTCAGCCATTTAAAAGCTCTTGAAACTTTTAAACCTTTTTCAGAAAATATTAAAAAACACATGCAATTTCTTATAAATTCTATGTACTATATATGCCGATCTTATATTTTATTTTATTTTTATTTTAATATATTTTATTGATTTTTTAGAGAGAGGAAGGGAGAGGGATAGAGAGTTAGAAACATCTATGAGAGAGAAACATCGATCAGCTGCCTCCTGCACACTCCAGATCCTGCAACCCTGGGGCAGGTGGAAGTTTAAATCCTACCCTCTGGCCTCCTACCACCTACCTGAAGCCTACCTTTTCCTGCCATGGAGACTCCCTCTGACCTCCCAATTGTTGAAACGTTTGTCTTTGCTATTGTCAGTGCCATACAATTTACCACTTGCTAATTATCTTACGTTTTCTCCAACTCCACATCAAGTTATTCAAGGCCAGGGACCTGTAAGACTTCTTTGTAAGAGCGTAGACTCAAAGTAAAGATTTCAACTGACAAAGGCCGCTTCAGAGAACGTCACAGAACAGCCACTGTCACTGAGGGGAGCTTGTGCCACAGACAACCCCGGCCCCACATCCCCACTACTCGGAGGCAAAACCCACCGAGAGCCCAGGTTCTCTCCTGACGCTGTTGGGAGCGATCCGTTACTTATAGTAGAAAAGGGCTCTACATTTTTAAAAACAAGATTCAGTGAGTTCTATTGGTTAAAAAAACTGTTAATTCCAGATGCTAACACAGCATATAACATAAGTAAGACCATTTTCTTTTGGGTGGAGATAGTGTAAACGAGATATAAGTGTTGTATCCCAAACTTGCAAGGCTCTACAATACAAACATAACTTTGTTTAACAAGTTTTATTGTGTTATAATCATCGCTTCATTTCTGGTTTGGGGTTTTTTAAAATCATTTTTGGAGAGAGAGAGAGAGAAACATGGATTTGTTGTTCAGTTTATTGATGCATTCATTGGTTGCTTCTTGTATGCGCCCTGCCTGAAGACCGAACCTGAAACTTTGGCGTATCAGGACAGTGCTCTAACCAATGATCTACCTGGCCAGGACCTATTTCTGTTTAATAATTAACTTATTCTTAATACAACTCACATAGTAATGATGAGAGTAAAACAGTCTACTTACCCCACCCATTGTAATTCCATGAATAAATGCAATATACGGTTTCTGGCAAGAATCTAAAAGAAAAAGAATTATAATTAATTGCAATGTTTAAAAAAATTTTCCCCCTAAAAAAACCACGTTATATGAACTGAATATTTTCCCAAGGAAATTTTTGCAAGAAATATCAAGGTAGACTAAATGTGTGGCCTGTAAAATGTTCTTAAAATGACAATCCATAAACAATCCTGATCATCTGTTCATAATCATTTAACAACTCAACCCTGCAATTTGAAACAAATGGAAGCTTTAATTCAGCTACTGAGAAATATGACTAACAACTGCCTTACAAGCCACTGATGTTTATATACACAGCTATATTTTAAAGAACATAACTTGTTTTCTATAAATCTCAAGTAACTGGATACAAAGAGAAGTGAAGCATAAAGGAAAAAGCACGGACCAGAAGTCAGAAGGCCCAGACTGTAGTCTCAGCTCCGTCATTAACTGCCAATTCAACTATACTCAATAGACATACTGGCATTAGGTGTAAATACACTTACACACACGTTACATGCATATCTTATGTGTATATCATATAGGGTGTCCCAAAAAATGTATATACACTTTGAATGATTATAAAGTCAGTGTTTATTAACATACAGTTCATTTTTAAAAGTTAAAAAAACTAAAAACTACAGATATGAATAATTTTTTTGCCAATGCCTGTTTTCAAACTAATGACCATTCTGGTCCAGGCACAGCTGATAACACGAAGCAATGGGATCGCAGACATCAAGGGTCATTTCGCTCAGCATTTATGTGCCCTCAATTTGTCAACTGTCACCAGTTTTGTACCATAAACTTTATCTTTTATGTATCTCCATAAAAAAAAAGTCTGGTGGCACTTTAGGATACATTTTCTTTGCTCAAAGCTGAGTCTGGCTTCAGCCATTATCTCAAATCTGTTAAACCTGAAAAGGAGTGAAAATTAACCGAGTTATCAGCTGCTGAAGCGTGTATACATTTTTTGGACACCCTCTATATAATACATAGGTAAGTAACACATAGGTAAGTATGTAGTAAAATCTAGAGTGTGGTCTGGGAGGGTAAACTACGAATTAACGACAGCAGTGCTCTGCAGAGGGGTAGCGGCTGCCTCTGGGGAGAGAAATGGTGCCCAGGAAAGCAACAAGGCAGACGGAGCTGTAATGTTAAAACGTGTAGAATCCTCTTTCTTTTACATAAATTGTAAAACATCAAGCAAAATAAAGTACTGATGCCTGCTCCCTCTGGGCTGGTGAGCACACGAGCATACTGTGTTATTCCCTGTAGTTTAACATCTAATCCCAGGCTCTGGAACATCAACTATAGAGACGTTTCATCCCAAATTCTTCAAGAATTAGAAAATGATACCTCATTGTACAGAGAAAACTGGGACCCACATCTTTTGTTTTCCAAGAAAGCCAGCCCTATGATCAGAATCATGTTTTCATATCGACTGAATGACAAATAGGTGAGAACAGCCTACTAATATGAAAGTGTGGTTTCGGAATGAGCAGTCCGAATAGTTTAATCAAATGTACTTATGACTGACACATAGCATATAAAAGATTAAATAAGATTATCTGCTGATTAAATTTTTAATAATTCATACTTTAATGCTGCTTTTCTTGATTCCATTTTCAAAGCTCTCAGCAAAGCACATACCAATGGCATTGTTTAGCACATATTCTTCTCTGAAGAAATCCTGACTTATCTTCCGGTCTCCCTTTACAACTTCTGACATTGTTACCAAAAAAAGAAAGAAAGAAAAAAAGATTACAAATTTTAAAAAAAGTGTTTTCTAGTCAATAGAATCAAATAAAATAAATTTAAAATACTGTAATACTCAGTCCTGGGGAAAACTCTAGAATGATTTGTTAACGTTTTGAAATTGCCCGTGCCACAGACATGTTATAGTTAGCCCCAGATTCATAGTCCCATGTCAAAACTTCAAGGGGAAAATTCTTAAGAACTTCCTACAAAATGTTACACTTAAATTTAGAAGTTATATATTGCTACAAAATGCACTTTCTTTTGACTGTTTTCTGTAGCACCTGAATAAATATTTGGTGGATATACATTTCTTTTGGTAATATATATCTGTTTTTTTAATTTATTGATTTGAGAGAAAGAGAGGAAGGAAGAGAGGGAGGAGAGGGGGAGAGAAAGAGAAAGAGAGAGAGAGAGAGAGAGAACACACATGGATTTGTTGTTCCACTTATTTGTGCATTCATTGGCTGACTCTTGTATGTGGTCCTGACCAGGATTGAACTCACAACCCTGGCACATTGGGAAGATGCTCTAACCAAAGAAGCTACCTGACCGGGTGGTAATATATATCTCAAGTATACTATACATACAGACAGAGAGAAATAAATAAATAAATAAATAAATAATTCAATATTTCTGCCACTTTCACTTTCCCACGAAACATTTACTGAGCATCCACCGAGTACCATGCACTGTTTTAGGTGCTGCAGTTATGCAGCCTGGAGAGAAGATACTAAAATACAGTGCTGGTGCGATGCTCACTCTAAGGCAGGTGCTGCAGGAGCGGGAGCAGGAGGTGCCATGGAAAGAAGGCTTCCCAGAAGACACAGTCTGAGCCAAGTTTGAACAACAGATGGGATTTCCTAGAAAGTGATGGGGGGGGGGGGGGCAGTTTTAAGTAGAGGAAGGAGTACCTACAAAAGCACACAGGCCAGAAAGAACAAAATCAAGAAAGAAGTCGTTTTAAAAGACTGAAGGAGAAACATAAAAGGAGAAGCTAGAGAGGGAAATGAGATAGTAAGGCCCTTATTTATTAATGATACAAAAGGAAATACATCTTCCCAAAGATGCTGCTACGGCACACTGCTGCCTGGCGTAATACGAAGGTGCACAGTAAGTACCTGAATTATAAACACTACCAGTGGTTTCCTTTCTATTGCAATTGCCTATCCTCCAAGCTCACACCCACTGCATTCTTCCAGCAGTCACTGTCAATACCACTGAGACCCTTCTCTCTCTCACGCACACTGCAAGCACACATGCCTCTTCCTGCCGTCAAGGCCTATGAGACTCACCTACTAGCACACAAATGTATGGTAGGTATGTTCCTTCTGTTATGGGAAAGTCACACAAACCTGTTGACTGTTTATAGTTTTAAACTAACTCTAATGTTATCTTCCTTTAAAACGCTCCAAATTTGACTTCTTTTCATGGCTATTAAAAGACAGTTTTGACGTCTCTTGTGATTCTGAAGCTTTCCCTGGTTTATGCCCCAAAACGCTCCTCTACCATCTCCGCTCAGTGCTGACCACTCCTTGCCATTCTCAACGGAAAGGAGGGTACCCTGCACTGCATGCTGAAGCTCTTCTACCTCAAAGACCTTACACTTCCTTCCAGTCTTAGTCTAATCAATTACTTCCATATAAAATAATTAAGTGACGTTCACAATATCATTTAAAAAATTTTCTGAGTGCCTACTTATGGTTCTGAACTATGATCTTTCAAGAAGCTAAATTTCTTGGAATTGAAATCCCTGTTTTATTTCATGTAAACTAGAATAATTCTAGAATTTGTAACTGTATTTCCAAACAACAATATCAAGTTAGGCTTTTATGCAAAAATAGTCTAAAGAAGCTAAAAATCAATACATAAGGCTCTGCCCATCTTTAAACTACAAGTTTAAAGATGGGCAGACAAGTTAACTACCTGAGAATATATTAACTTTTTAAAAAATTCTAAAAAGTAACACCAGTGACGGAGTAGTAGGAAAGCTTGCTAGCACTTTATCCGTTCTGCCGAGGGAGCACTCAGGGCGAGGAGGGGCTGGTACCTCTGATGTCTCCCCCAGCACAGAAAGCCTTCTCCCCGGCGCCCTTTATGATGATCAGGAAGGTTTCGGGATCTTGTTCCCACTTCTAAAAAGAAGACAAAATAAGCACATTACGACCACAAACTCATTAAAGATGCATGCACTTGCACAGACACACACTCTAACATGTGTACAGGCATACAGTGTATGGATAGACTACTTCTGACCCACCCTGTGTATATATCCATACATGATATATAGCAGAACCTTTATAAAGTGTATCCAAAAGAATGGATCCCAACTTTTCATGATGGCATCTGACATCTTTGCCATGACTTTTAGACAAAGGTTAAAATATATAAATATATAAATATGTATATATATAAATATCTATATATATATATATATAAATATAAATACACACACACACACACACACACACACACACACACACACTAGAGACCTGGTGCATGAAATTCGTGCATGGGTAGGGTCCTTAGGCCTGGCCGGCGGGGCAATCAATTGGGGGGCCCCCACTGGCACCTGCCTTGGCCAGCCCCACCCCCTGCCGCTGCCAGTCACCTTCCTCTGTGGGGCGACTGGTGGGGTGATTGGGGGGCCCCCACTGGCACCCGCCTTGGCTGGCCTCGGGCCTGCGGGCTGGGGGCAGCTCCTGCATTGAGCATCTGCCCCCTGGTGGTCAGTGCGCATCATAGCAACGGGTCATTCCACAGGTCGTTCCGCTGTTCAGTCGATTTGCATAATAGGCTTTTATTGTATAGGATATATATTAGAGGATCCGATGCACAAAATTCGTGGCTGCTGGCACTAGCTTCCCTCTGGCACCCGGAACCCGGGCTACCCTCGCAGCCCCAGCTTCGTCCAGAAGGTCGCCCAGAAGGACGTCCAGTCTAATTAGCATATTATGATACACACACACACACACACACTTAATACTACTACATGTTACATAAGCTTAGTAATCTAGTGAACAAATCCATCCAAAGGTTGTTGATAACAGAGCAATAACCTTTCTAGTGTGTTGCTATGGGGCTCTGTCCTACTGACAAATTTGTAAGTGACAGAGTGAAAACACACAGACCAAATCTGAAATTTGGGGCTGGTAAGACCAGCTAAAAATTAAGTAGGATAAAAGAATCAAGAGCCAATGTAAACTCAAAAGACTAGAACAGGGGCGGGCAACCTTTTTGTGAGTGCGTACCCAAACCAGCAAAATCTCTGACTCAAAATTCTTCTGCGTGCCAACCCTAATTTTTTGAGTACATGTTACGCCTACTTGATATCTCTTAAGGTATACATATGTGAAGAACCTTGAAGAAATAATAAAATTTATTCAAGAGACAAAAACACAGTATATGATGATGAAAAATACATTTTTTTAATGTATACATGTACACTGAGAGTCCGACAGAAAACTTTATGACTCCGTTTGATATTATCAGTGGGACTTTTGCCGCTGCATCACTGATGACAGAGATTTTACATCAGGTTTATATTTTGTGACCTTCAGAGATATGCACGAGCTACTACTTTCATCCGTCAGGGTACTCCTATTACGAGACTTAACAAAATTCATCACTGAGAACAAAGATTCACAAGCATATGTGATGAAACCAAAACACTGGTCGGATCTAGGAAGGCAGGGAGAGTTAAGGCAGAGGCATAGAAATTGCTCTTCCCCTCTCTCGTCAATCCATGTCTATGGTCTTTAAGATAACTTGTTCTGTAAAATTATTTATTTATCTAAGATGCACCTACACTGAATTTATCTGAAAAATAAAAAAGTCGATATTAAGAAAAAAATTGTAAATGGAAGATTATAAGAGAGGGTTTCTCGTGCCAGCAAAAGTTACTGGCGTGCCATGTTTGGCACGCATGCCAGGGGTTGCCCACCCCTGGACTAGAACAATGGACCAATAAAATATTAGTTAACTAGAGACAGAAAAATTAACAGAGGCTCTATACATTCCACACTTGAGAATAAAAGTACAAATGCCCAAGGCAGAGGCGTAGCTGGACAGTTAGTGGAAACGTGGTGTTCTACAAGGAATCCTCTTCTTGCTTCCACGCTGTCCACTCTGACCTGGAACACTGGATTATTTCTCTGTATTACATTTAAGAACATATTACAAGGTATTCCAACAGACAGCAAAATGGAAGAGACTCGTCAAATGAAGAATGAGGAACAGGTGGCCAGGGAGAGCTAGCATTTGTGGAACACCATGTGGCTGACCGTATGAGGTACACTGCTTGGCTTCTCTCCACAGCAATCCTGAGGTGCGAGCACCCTGCTTCACAGCTGAGGAGAGGGAGGTACACTCGATTGGCACTCTCCATCGACACAGTTAGGAGAAGCCCAGGTTTCAAGCACAAGCAGTCTGACTTTAGTGATGATTTCCCTGCACCCACAGTTCACTTAGAATAGAAAAGCTTATGTATAGTATGACCTTCCCCAGTAAAGGCTGGCCACGCAGTTACAAACAGTGGTCTTCAAATCAAAAGGCTGCTGTCATGTGGAAGCAGAGTAGATCTGTATCTTCACACGGGCCCTACCAGGCAGACCCAGGATCACCGGGTAAAAGGCGGGAGGAAGAAAGAGCGGCAGGACAAAGAAGAGACTTAGAGCCACGGGAAGAGGAGGGGCTCTCCTGGGGCAATGCCCTCCCGGCCTGGGTGCTTTAGGGGAACGCAGGGCCAGCACTGAAGCTAGGAATCCATGGGCTTGGGCGCCGACCCCAGGCAGTCCAATGACTCCATGGGAAAGAATGCCAGAAATGTACTATAAGGTACACTTTTAAAGCAATCGATACAATGGCTGTAAGAAAATGACCAACCTTTAGCTGTGGGTAGATCTGCCGGATCATGCTCAGATTCAGTGCATTGAGGGCCTTGGGTCTGTTCAGGGTTATCACCCCTGCGCAGCCCCTCCTCTCCAGCAGCACCTCTCCCACTGCATCCGTGTGGGCGGACAGCCTCTGTGTAAGCACATGAGAGCTTTACATGGAAACAGCTACAGCAAATCAAAGCCTTCACACAGTGCTAAGGTAACCGATCACATGGGTAACTGAGCACATCTGACAAAGATTGCTACAATTAAAACAACTATACACACCTCTTACATCTTTTAAATTTTACTTCTAAGTGAAATGAGTCAACCTGAACGATGAAATACTCTTTAATCTTTTATTGGTTGGTACACCAGCCAATATATTAGCTACTTAGAAAGCAAAGATGAATACAGAGGGCAAATAATTCAGACTACAGTGGCTACCAACAACTTGGAAAAAGTTGATATTTGAGCTGGGCCTTCATACATGCCAAGAAAAAAGGGGGTGAGAATGCTACAGAATAGTACATGCAAAAACGTAGCAATTAATATTTGAAAATATTCACTGAAAATAAACCTGTGCAGAATAAAGGCTGGTTGAAGAAATGAGTGCTGGGAAAGTAGGAAGGAGCAGTGTGAAGCCAGATTATAAAATGACAGGCTTACATGTCATAGTTATGTAGAACTTGCCTATACGCTCACATAAGGGCCGCACACACCGTGACTTAATCACCAGGTCTCACTGCTCATGTAATAGAGGACTGACTAATTTAACACCTGAAGTTAACGTTTCAAACTACATAGCAATTCCCAGGTCTCCGCTCACACCACCATCAAGGCTAACGGCCCCGCCCACTTCACATGTTCCTTTAAGGACAGTGCTTGATCTTCACATGGGAACAAAGTGCAATATGAAACTGACAGTCAGCTTAAACTGGAAATTTTTAACTGGAGAATGAATCCTTACTAACAAAAATCTAATAAAACCCAGAAACCCATATTTTGACAGTATTAAGCAATATCTTTTTTAAAAATATATTTTTATTGATTTCAGAGAGGAAGGGAGAGGGAGAGAGAGAAACATCAATGATGAGAGAGAATCATTGATTGGCTGCCTCCTGCACACCCCCTACTGGGGATCGAGCCTGTAACCTGAGCATGTGCCCTTGACTGGAATTGAACCTGGGACCCTTCGGTCTGCAGGCTGACGCTCTATCCACTGAGCCACACCAGCTAGGGCACACACAATGTTTAAGTCCTCCTTTATAAAATCATGTTGTATATTTCATGTTGGACTTGGCTGCACAGGATGCCTATTTATTTTTGACAGTTATGCAGTCTTACATGTCAATTTATCAGTCCCATACTGAAAAGCATGGGTAATTTCCACCTTCTGCTATTACAATGATGCAGGGATATCTTTAAGCATGGATCTCCAAGCACTTGGGCCAAGCATTTTTGGCGGACAGTTACAGAGGGTGAGACTTTGGGCAAAGAATATTACAGAATCTTTAACGTTAATGCCACTAGAATGATATAAAGAAATGAATGATTTTCTTGCTTGAAAAGTTCCCGTCTTTTAAAAAACCTGAAAACTACTGGTTCATTATATGCCAAGCATTAGGCTAGTTTTTCAAATGAAGCATAGTATTTATTATCCATAAGCACTCTACGGTGGATACCATTATCCTCAGTTTATATATAGTCAGGAGGAGGCTGAGAGAGACCAAGTGCTCTGCCCACAATTAAGTGGGGGCCCATGAAACCCAGGCATTCCAACGCGAAGACCGGTGCTCTTATCCACAGCCTGCCTCAGGCCACCTCCTGCAAGCTATGTTGGTCACGTCTTGACACTGTACGATTGGGAACCAGGGTGTACCAAGGTCAAAGGCACCTACCAGTACTTCTCTTCTTCCCGAACAATGGCATTCTAAGTTACACCTCACATCTAATAATGCCAGCAAAGCCAAGTCCAAACTTACCAAATGTTGCAGGATGACATTAGTCCTTTTGAATGAGTTAAACCTGAAACAAATGTAGAATACAATGAACACAATAATGTGAGAAGTCACATTTCAATGTATAAATACTATACACATTGCTTTAGTCTCTTCTGAATGGTATTAAAACAAGTTGTGTGTTGTTTAAAGGTTTAGGTAGAAGAGGGCAAAGGGGGATAAACTGACCGAAGTGGATCTGACTTGGGACTTGGGATGGTGAACACACAGTACAACATACAGATGATGTATTAAAGAACTGTACACCTGAAGCCTATGTCACCCCCATAAATTATATAAATTATATTTTTTAATGTCACCCCAATAAATTCAATAAAAAATTAAAAAAGGCTTAAGTCTCATTCATTGCTGATAGAAACAACTGTATGGCCACTTTGTAAGACAGTTCGGCAGTTTCTACAAAACTAAACATACTCCACCATATGATCCAGCAATTCCACTCCCTGTATTTACCCAAATGAGTTGGTAACATTTTCATAATAAAACCATCGCTTAAGTGTTTATGGTAGCTTTATTCACAAGAGCCTAAACATGGATGTAACCAGAGGTCCTTCAATAGCTAAAAGGATAAACAAACTGTCATTCCACAAAAAGGCACAGAGGAACCTTAAATTCGTACTGCTAGGCAAAAGAAGCCTTTCTGAAAAGATATGTACTGTATTGTATATTCCACTTTACTGCCACTATGGCGACAGTAAAAAGACCAGAGGCTGCCAGCAAGAGGGAAGAATAGGTGGAATACCTGGGATGCCTGGGCAGTGAAAGTAGTCTGTATAACTGCAGTGGTGGAGAGAGCAGCTGGCTTTTAAATGAAACCAAGATGGAACTCATCCACTAGGACCCACTGTTCAACTGATTCGGAAAAATGTTCTCTGCATCCAGATAGGCCCAGATGTCCAGCAGCAAACATTTCATCACCACGAAAATACTGACTCATTCATCAGAAAGACAGAATGCAGTGAGGAATCTGAGAGGGAGCCTGGAGGTGTGAGGGTTAGCTCCTGCACTGCTAAGAAAACACTGCCAAGTCTTTAATCAAAAATTACTTGTCTGCCCGAGGTCAAGTGTCATTCCCAGAGACACACTGCACAGAGGCCCAACCGCAGGCATCACAGAAGGCACCCCGACCTGCACGTCAGTTGTTTGCTCTTTGTAGCTTGTGTTAGGAACTGTGAGGGGCTAGAAATACCGGAAGGAACTAAAAGTGAACGACCCTGCCTTTTTGAATTTTGCCAAAGCACGAGGCAAGATCCTACCCTACCACTCTCTCATGGTCCCCACCTCAAGGCGGTGACTGTGGTGTCTCAGGGCACCTATTTGGCCAGCGCCAAGAGGATGAGCGGAACACAGACCACCTGCGGCAAGTCCCTGACCACAGAACTTGGGCCGTACAACTGGAGGTGGAGAAGGCAGGCACACTTACCGTCATTAACGAGTGTGAAAACAGACCTTGTTCCAGTGGTGCTAGGGGACAATGTCCACTCACTCACAGATCCCCAAAGGGCATGAGCACGCTCTCTTATGCGGGACAAGGTGGGGATGTGGGGTCTGTGGGGCCTGGGACCCAGCGCTGGGTCTCTTAGGGCGGTTACCATTTCTCTTTGTACTACAGCCGTGGACTCCAAGGTTGTGGAGCTGCCCCTGGTTGAGTGATGAAGGCTGGGATATGTATGTCCGCTTCCCCTCAACCACGTGCCAGGTTTGGAGCCAACGGGAAGGAAAGAGAAGACCATAAACTCAGTTACTTGGGGACTCTGAATACTTGAATACGAGTATGAATCGGAAGAGAAGTAATATGATGATATAAAATCTGGTGAGGAACTTAGTGGTAGTTTGGCTTGTTTGCTTTCTGCTTTGGTCCAGAGGTTTCTGTGGCCTACGAATGCAGCGCTCAGTGAGTTACACTTGCATTTGTAGGTTTTTATTAACTTCCTATGAATGAGATAAAATTCTGTCTCACAAATAAAACTGGGACTTGACGCTAGACCTGCTCTCGCTGTTTACTCTTCGTGCTGCAGGAAGTATTTGAACTGTTACGTAAAACTTGCCAATCTGGCAGCACATCTTTAACCTTGCGCGGGCATTTGGGTACTGGCCTCATTAAGGAATTCAAAGTTGTTCTGACTTAAGGAAGAGAGCACTTACGTTTTCTGCTGGTTAAAACAGGTTCCAAAAAGATAGAATTAAGTTTCTAAAAAACGTTAGAAATGGTGCTCCCGGGTAAGTGTAGTTCAGATTTTAAGTGTCCATGTGAAACCCTACTTAGACAACGTCCGAGAGAGACTAGGGTCTGTCACTTCAGCCTGAACTCCGGGAATGACACGTTTTTAAAAGCACTGATTTTAATGACAACTTGTCAGCGCTTTGGGACCAAACACCTCTGCCTGTGCCCACCTCCAGAGTGTATGGCTTCACTGGTCTTGGCTGTGACCTGGGCCTTGGCTGTGTGCAAGTCTCCAGGTGATGCTAATGTGCATACAAGTCGGGGCGTCACCGGGTCAATTCCGGTCAAGGGCAGGCACCTCCACTGCCCTGGTGGGGGCGCATGCAGGAGGCAACCAGTCAATGTGTCTCTTCCACATTGATGTTTCGCTCTCTGTCTTTACCCCCCCCCCCCACGCTCGCTCCCTAAAAAAAAAAAAAAAAAAATGAAAAAAATATCCTTGGGCGAGGATTAACAACAGCAACAACAAAAGAATATCCAGTAGTCCAGATGGGCCAGGGGATAGCAACAGAACCTAGAACAGTGCCTCTCAGAACAAGAACATAACAATAAGTGGCGCTGAATTCATGAAGCAAATTGGGGCCAAATCTTGAAACCCAGGCGGGGACGTTCTAGCTCATTCCAAAGGCAGGAGCGCGCTTCTCCGAGAGCTCCGAGCACAGGACCGGCAGGCGCCAAAGGACACGTGAGCAAGTTGCTAAGGCAGGCGGTCAGTGCGGACTCCGCACTGGAAGAGGCACGGCCAGCAGCCAGGTTTCTGTAAAGGTGAACTAGTGACACATTTGCGAGCGCTGCCTGAACTCCAATCGGCAGGAAGAGACAAGAAGTGGGGATGTGGGAGAGCTCCCACCGCTTCAGGAATCTAGGAAGGTGCCCAGGAACTCAAAGTGCAGGTGCCAAGTAAAGGTTGCAACGCGAGATGGTTCTGACTAGCACGGGCG